ATTGTCAGTCTCTTAGTGCGATGGAGTGTACGATATTTTTAGTAAATCCATCTTTAGCCAACACAAACAAACTGGATGGTTTACCCACGCGAGAACATGCCACGTATAATTGTCCGTGTGAAAAACACGGTGTGCCCAGATCTAAGCCACAAACAGTTATGGTTTGACTTTGAGACTTATTGATTGTCATTGCGAATGCCAATCTGATTGGAAATTGAACCCGTTTAAATTCAATTGGGACATCTGTAGTGATAATAGGGATTCGTGGTAGTAATACATCTTCTCCGCGAAACTTGCCATTCAAAATGCTGGCTTCGATAACGTTTTTAATCAATTTTTTAATAACTAATCGCGTGCCATTGCACAGCCTTGGTGGGTTCAAATTACGTAGCAAAATAATAGGAGATCCAACCTTCAGTTGTAAATGGTATAGTGGCATGCCTGGCAAATCCAATGAGTTCAAAAACTCTGCCGGGTAGTTTAAAATTGCATTGGTATCGCAAACTGTATCGATAGATTTGTATAACACAAAGTTCCCTGGCAACTGCTGTTGTATCTTGAAATTCAAATCGTTGACGTCCACATTTTTTGCAGCCAAAATCGCTCTTTCTGTAAGCCACTCAAGCTTCAAGTATGGTATGTGTATATCGGGAAATATCTGGTCAATAAGTTGAATTAATGATTGAGCAGAAATCGGTCGGTAATTTTATGCATTCAGTATTTTCATGTAAAGCTACTTTTCCATCGCTAATATCCAACAGTTGTTTTGAGAATGTTTCAGCGGATGGATCTTGAAGCTTTTGAACGCGTATGTTTACTTTCAGCTGTACTTTTTCAACATTACGATGATTTCTGGCAAGCGTTGATCTCATCAGTGTACGTTGAACGTGGAATGACTGGAAGTGTTTGTCTGAAATCACCTGAAAGGAGTAACAGAGTGCCGCCAAACAGTTTTTCATTRTTTCTTATGTCTTTCAATAGGGCATTGAATCCAATATTCCAACGCCTCAAGCGAATGTTTGTGTACCATAGTGCATTCATCCTAGATGATAATTTTGCACAGTTTCAGCACTGTAGCCATTGATGATTGTATTTTTATGTTGCACAATGCGTCTGGATTATTTTGAATATTTAGTGGCAGCTTAAATGCTGAATGAGCTGTTCTGCCTCCATTCAATAAAGTTGCTGCAATGCCAGATGATACAACGGCCAATGCGATGTCATTATTTGATCGTATTTTTTCGAGAATTAGTGAAATGAGGAATGTTTTACCAGTTCCACCAGGTGCATCCAAAAATAATAATCCACCTTGACTTTTCYTGCAACACATACCGGCTGGCTCATTTTTGAACTTCAGCGCATTACAATGCGGACATTCCTTGTCCATAGCACCAATCTCTATTTTCGAATATTCAATATCGGGCACATACTCGAATGCTAGACGAAGGAATTAATTGGATTTAAATTCTCTATGTACTTGTTGGAGTTATCGGTCATTTGCTCTGCGTGTGTCAACTACGAATTGACGCGCTTCTAATTGTCTTATTTGATTTTGTTCAGCTTGTGCCTCACGCATTCGCACCATGTTCACACGTACATTTCCGTTGTTCGGTTGGATTTGCACGTCTCTTCATTGTGCTCTTCTATCTCGCATGCTTGTACTTTTGGTCGTTCGACGGTCCAAATCAGACCCCTTGCGTCTTGCTGGCATTGTACAAAATACACAAATCGATACAATTAAAGTTCATATTAAACTAAATAAATAAATTTATATTTATAT